AGGTTGTTGATTTTGAATGCTGCTTCTGCTCTGCTTTTCGTGTTGATCTAGCTTACTGGGTTTCCTGGTTCCTATAAGGTGTATAGTTCACAGAAGATCCACCTGTTGTTGTGGGGTTCGTAGTTCTTGAAGGAAAGGACTTCCTGAATTGATGGGGTATCGATGGTGGTAGCCCAGTCTCTGTATTGCCATTTTTTATCTGATTTTAGTAGGATTTTGCAGTGTAGAGGAATGCAGTCTATGATGTGATTTAAGTTGGTTTGGAGGTGATGCACTCCTTTAGTTTGTCTCGTAGATCTCTTTCTGTTTTCCAGGTTTTGTTTGGGTCAACCTAGATGTGTTTGACTTGCCATATTCCCTTTTCTAGCCAGTGCCAGGATTTGGTTTCCGACTTGGAGACTGGGAGGCTTGCCCATTTATCGTTCTTGATCAGTGGGTTGTCGAAGAGGGGTTGTCAGAGGGCTTCATCTTTCTTCTTTGGACCTGTTCTGTTTTCTGGGAAGATGATTCTCCAGGTCTATAGGATTCGCTCCCAGAGGGATTTGGTATGGGAGATGTCATTGGTGTTGGCCTGGGGTGCTTGGTTGTGTTGTCTCTGTTTCCCTTTTGGGAGTGGCCAAGTTTTGTTAAAATCTGAATAGGCCTGACATGTTGGTTAGAGGAACGAAAGGTGCTAGTCCTCTGACATGGTTGAGGGCTAATGTCCTGGAGGGCTAATCTTATGACCCATTTGATTTGTAAGGCCTGGATTTGACGGGTTGGACCTATAAGACCTAGGCCCCTGTTGCTTTTTGGGTTGGTGACTATCTGGCATCTGCTAGGCCACCTTGTGGATAAAGTGTTGTTTATCCGGGCTACCGGTCCATAGGAATGCTGCTGTTTTTTTCCCCCATTGGCTTTGGAAGTCAGTAGGTGAGAACCAGATGGAGGTGGAATACCACATAATTACAAGGATCGAGTTGTTGAACGTCAGTACCCTGCGTAGTAGGGAAGTGTGTATGGCTTCTAGGTATGCATTATGGTAACCATTGAGGATAAGAGTGTCGCTGCCAATGCTTGGTGACATCCTTTGAGATTGAGGTTGATGCCCAGGAAGCGGATTGGTGATTCTGGATCTGCCCAGTGTAATCCTGGTGAGGTTAGCTTTCGGGGGGGCGGGGGGTTGCGTTCCACCAGCCTATTGTTTTTGCCCAGTGCACTTTCATTTCTGAGGCCAGTTGGAATGCTTGCATTGCTCTTGTCAGGACCTGTAAGGAGGAGTTTGATGCCCTGACAAGTACTGCGAGATTATCAACAAATGGGAGAGTGGTAGGGATGTGGAGGGGTTGTCCTTGTTCGTCCTTGATGTTCTCGGTCGTCTCGATGGCTATGTTCTTTCTCAGGAAGGCTGCAATGGCCTCCATGACGAAAAGGAAGATCGGTGTTGCTAGAGGGTCCCCTTGTCTTACTGACCTTATCATTTGGTAGGGGTTGGAGAGGAAGTTGTTGACCTGAACTATCCCTTGTGCGTCGTTGTAGAGTATTCTGACTCATTTTCGGAATGCCTACTCCCATTTTTTCCATGTTGTCCTGAAGGAAATTCTGATTACCTTGGTCATATGCTTTTTAAATCGAAGAAGAGGATGGTAGCAACGATCTGTTTTTGGTTAATTATCTATGTGGATTCGAAGAGAGACATTACGTTATCTAATATGAGTCGTCCTGGAATGAACCCTGTATGGTCTAGGTGGAAGCATCCTCCTGTAATCCGGTTAGGAGTTTGGTTAGGATTTTGTATGCTACATTTAATGGTGAGATAGGTTTGTATTTCTTTATGTCCTCTCTGTTTAACTTTTTGTATACGAGTGTCAAGACCCCCATGCTCAGGTTTGGGCCTAGAGATTCTTCGTCCCAGGCTTTGGTGAAGAACCTATGGAGGAGTGGGTCTAGGCTGTGTCAGCCTGGCATCCAAAATTCCTTAGAGAGGTCGTCCCTACCTGGGGATTTGTTAGGTTTGAGGTCGTTGAGAGTTTTGTAGAGTTCTTATAATGTTTTGGGTACTTCTAGTGTTTTACCCGTCTCTGCTCAGAGGGCTATTTTTATTGCGTTTCTGAGGGTCTCCTCTCTTTCTTTTCTTTGTATTGCTAGTCTTTTGAAGGCTTGTGTTGTCCTTGTGCTAATGTTCATGATGATTTGAGGGATTTTTTTTTATATGTCCTCATTAGGTTGTAGTTGTGCTTGTGAGGTTAGTAGCGTTTGGAGTTCGGATTGAAATGATTGGCTGGTGAGGAGGGCGTTGTTGAAGCAGTAGAAGCTCTTGCCTGTGTAGCCCTCCTTAGTGAGTCTGAAGGAGAGGGATATGGATTTGTGGTCCAATCACTTGTGGTATGGGTTGTTATGGATGGTGCAGTCTTGTATAGCCCCTAATAATGCGCCTGATGTGAGGAAGAAGTCGTTCTAGAGAGGAATGCTCGGCCCAGTGAGTTTTTTTGATGCAGGAGTATCTTTTAATCACGGGGTACAGCAGGCGGAATGCGTCTATTAAGCTTTTCCTGGTCATAAAATTGTTTAGGTAAATTGAAGTGTGGGATCTTGAGAGTGTGATATTTTATCTAGGTTGGGGTTCTGGACCGAGTTCCAATCTCCCATGATGATGGTGGGTGGGTGTGTGGGGATGAGTTGTTCTATCGTGAGTAGGAAGGTTTTTTTTTTCTTGTGGTGTATTCGGGCCGTAAATCCCTATGATGGTCATCCCTTCTTCTTTGAATTTGATGTCCAATTTGATCCATCTGCCTGCGGTATTGTCTTGATTAACATTCAGTACTTATATTGCTTCACTGGCTGCCGATTTTTGGAGGAGGAGGATGACGATTCCAGTGGAGCCATTTTCTACAGCTTTGGCCCAGAATACGGACTTGATGAAGGTTAGCTTCTTGGTAAGGGCTAACTGTAATTTGTTGTGTTCGTTGCTGTTGGTTAGGTTTGTTTCTTGGAGGCATGTTATGTCTGTGGGGTTGGGTCCAAACCAACCAATGGTTTCAGCAAGGTTCCTCCATTTGATTGGGTTATCTAAAATGGAGGCCAGTCCGTTAATTTTCCATGACTCGTAAGTTATTTCAGGTTGTTTTCTGATTTCCTTGAGAATGTCTGCTTCGGTGGTGGGTCTGAATCATTTTGGTTTATTGTCTGTCCCACTATCAGCTTGGCCGTTTGAGTGTTCTTCCATTGGTGTTTGGAACGGTTATTCCTGGTGTGGGATTGATGTTTGGCTCAGGTGGTGGGATGGGAGGTCTTTTTCCCTTCCTCCTCCCACTCTTTCCTCTTCTCCTCCTTTTTCTCCTTGTCCCTCCTCAGCTTCTCCAGGGTCTCTTTCTCATCCTTGCCCAACCATTCCTCCCTTATGAAGGCCGTTGTGCTGAAGCCAATTCTGTCGACTTCATCCTTGTGACCCAGTAGGGGGGGGTAGGGAATCTCGCTGATCAACTCCCATGATTTCCATGTCAGTCCCTCCCTCAGTTGGGCCTGCTGGTTGTATAGGACCAGGGCTGGTCTCAAGTCTCGGTAACACCTTTCTCCGTTATCACCATGCCAGTACACGTCTAGGCTGTCTTGTTCTATCACTTTTATGGCCAGGAGGCGATTTTCTGCGATGTTTGCCTTCGCGAAATGTGGGCGTTTGTTTGAATCCTGTGTTGTGATGGTGTTCAGAAAAGGACGGACTGCAATTTGCCATTCCTTTTTGTATGAATTGTAGTGGAAGGGCAGGATTGGGACCATGGGGGAAAGTGTGTGAGCGCCAAGCGTTGCTGTCACCGTCAGCTCTGGGAGCTTTTGGTCTGCAATTATGTTGAGGGAGTGTGACACTCCCCCTAGATCCAGGTTTTGTTCCTGCACGTAACTTGTTTGTCTCTCAAGGAATCAAGTGATGTACTAGCTGGGCTGGTAGGTCAGCACTCCCTAATGCTGCTCCTTCTAGGTCCTCCCCACCCTGGCCTCGGGCGTACCAGTCGTCTGCACTAGTGGGAAAATTATTGCAGACTGTAATCTCCTTTGGATCGGATGCGCCTATCCATATTCCTGTCTACACTGAGTTTGATACAGTCATTACTCGTCTACCGAACTCAGGCCTCTCCAAGGTACTAGAAATCCGTACTGGGTCCCGGCGATTTTACCCATTATATGTCCTTGCCCATCTTACTCTAGGTCCAACTACTCCCAAATTTCAGTTCTACCCACGTATCTCCATCTGCTTAAAGCTCTGCCCTTTCTGAGACACAGCACGACATCACGAGCACAGAGTCAGTGCTTAGAGTCTTTAGACATATACAGCTGGCCTGGGAGCTAGCAAAAAGACACGCATTCATTCATGGCCAAGCCAAAACACTTCAAAAATGATAATATCTGCAAGAACACATCAAAAGGCAATGACTTATCGGAAAAAAAAAAAAACACTTCCCAGACTGTGATCTATATCAATCATTGGAAAACTAAACTAATTGCGTCGGGAGTTGTCAATGCTTATGGCAGATAGTCACCGCTGTTGGCCAGTGGTCCTGGGGGCAATCCTCCGGGAGGAGGAGGTGGTTTGAGTAGTTTTCATTAGTCACTGCCACAGAGGAGTGTCAGTAGTTTTCCATTGGGCACTACCGCAGAAGGTTGGTTTCAGTAGTTTCCATGGGGCACCACCACCCCAAACAAGTGGTGGGCACTGGGCATTTGAATGCTTTGGAGAAGTATTTTCACTTCGTCTGTTTTTTCGTAACTTTTTCCTTAAACGCCACTACCTTTCTCATATGTCGGCCGCGGGGTGGGTTCCACTCGTTTTAGAGGCCTGCAGCCGCTGATGAAAAATATCAGCGGCTGCCCGGCGGCAATTTTTTCAGATGAGGTCATTTTCCCAAATGGGACTACAGCTGCAAAAGGTAGTGCTGGTTTAAATAAAATTATTAAATGAATAATTGAAGCACCAAATTATTATCTTACGACAGTAATCACACCGAATTATAATCCTGCAACAGTAATCACATAAGATTACCATCTCTTGGACAATTGTCATGGTTGGCAATGACTTTAGGTTGAAGAGCAATTTCCCAAGAATCAATAAGACCTCCAGCAGCTTCAAACTGAGCAGGCAAGCTGGAGGAAATGGAGAAGCAGCAAGAGGGGACAACATATCATCATGCCAAACCCGACCTGGGAATGATGGTGATCACCAAAAGGAGCCAGAAGTGGGCAAACCTGATGGACAAGAACCACTGCCATCATTTGGAAGGCACCTGCACCTCTACCTGGATATCTATGCCGCTGTTCTGCAAACGGTAAGTAGCAGCTGTGCACAAAGCCAACATGTTCCCCAACTGGACCCTCTCAGCTTTGGCCCTTTCCCCTATTCCCAGAACAGGGACACCAGTCAGAACAAGGAAGTGTTAGCATGGATCAGTCCGGAGAATGAAGTAATTCAGGACTGTGGATGGTGTACACCTTAGGACTGTGGATGTAACTGCAAGGAACCTGGTCATGAGAACTCAATTCCTGACCGGCACGAATTCACTGATCAGTATGCATGAGAAGGACAGACTGAAAGCAGAATTGACAAGGCACAAATCACTCCAATTATCCAATACAAGAGTTCACACAACTCTGTTTTGATTGTGAAATCCCTCTTCTCGCCTCCAACCAATCAATTCAACAACAGAGTAGTTCTTGACTTGCCCCTGGTAAATCTCTAACCAGTGGGTGTGACAGCCAATCATACTGTCTAGCCTAGACTCGACTACCCATCCACCATGCTGCAGAGTTCTGTTCCACTTCGGCTGATGACCGCTTGAAGAGCTCCCCACACTGGAGCTCCTCCATGCCGACCGCCACGTAAGTATTCAGCAACCTTCCTCACGTCTTTCATGCACCGCCCAAAGACCTCTCCTTCCCTGTCACCACCCTTACTGTAGAGGGCACCCGGTCGTTTTTTCTTCAGCGCCTGCTGCTACGGGGATGGACACTGCACAGTGCTGCTTCTCCCTGCATACATGCATTGACTTAGCATTGCTGCAGCATAGCGGCAACCTTCGTCCAAATGATCCCTTCACTGACTCAGCCTTGGCCACTGCTTTTGTTGGCCGGTAGGCGCTGCCTACCAGAATGTTCCAGAGCTTGCTGAAACCTACCGGGTCCAGGCAGAGTTACTGGTCCCTCTCCTGGACCTACTGGGTCCAAACCTCATGGACCCAGGAGCCAGGGCCTACCAGCACTGTACTGCCTGCCGTGCAGTCCCATAACTGTGGATGTAATTTACAATGGATCTGTGCTTATTGCTCTCACCAACGGGCCTAGCTCAGTTGGTAAACCCGCAGACTATTGAAATACAGACCTGAGTTTGGATTCCGAGAGAACTAGAGGAGCTATAAATTCCTAAGTTATATCTCAAGGTCGTTGCCTCTTAGAAAAAAAAAAAAGGATTTGGCTGGTTTTGACATTCAGAATTCGAACTTCTTTTCGTGTGTTTTTTTCTGTTGTTTACAACTTTACATCTTAATGGATGATACCATCGCTCTCTTTTTATAAATGCATCTTGATAGGAGCCCCATGTGAATCTAGAGAGACTAAGAAAAATTAGACTCCATACAAAATTGATAAAAATATTATTTAAAGAAGGGACTTTTGTCTGTTTATCAGGTTCATTTGGTAGTGGCTTGAACACTTTCAAGTTTCTACATCATTATCTTGAAAGTCGTTTTGAATGGAAGAAAAGCAAAAGGGAAGTATAGGGATGGTCCTCTCTGGGGGGCATAATCTGGCCCTCTCTTTTTTAACTTTCGGATCGCAGTCTGCCTATTAACGCCGCATGGGTGTACCGTTCAGCCACAAGTGCGGTTCAAAAATATACTAAAAACATATCACCTGCTGCGCGATGCCACTTCCCGCTATGGTCAGGAGTACCTTTTCCCTTTGTGCTGAACCTGTTGTAACCTGAATTAGAGGCCTGTTGAGATTCAGATTGTTAGAGGGTCAACACAGAGGACAAAGATACTCTGGTCCTTTTTTTTTTTATGGCATACCTTATCCACTGGCTTTTCAAGTTTTCAGAGTTTTCACACATACCCTGACTTTTTCCCAGCCGGGTACTTTTCTTTTTTTTTTCAAACGAAACATCCCGGTGGCTGTCTTCTGTCCAGGGTGGCTCCCCCTGGCCGGTACGGGCACACTGTTGAGAAGGCTCCGGTCTATTGATGGGGAGCAGCATGTGCTGGGATCCAAGCATCCCCCGAGTCAGAATGTCCATCATCAGAAAAAAAAAGTGGTCCAGAACAACATTGATTACCCTGGGAAACCCCAGAGGATTGACTGTCTATATACCGAATGAATTTTTATTTTTTTATCTGACGAGCCGAACAGTGGAGGGGATGTCTGCTCCCATCAGCACACCCCCCACTCCCCTCGCCGATGTTTCTTTAAAAACAAAAAAAAAAAAACTAGCCGCCACTGCCCGCCAGATAGTACCTTCAAAACTAGCTATCCTCCAAACATTGGCAATAAAATCCTTACTGATTCATGCCAAACTGTAGCATATCAGAAAGTGAAATGCACTGAAAGCCTAGGATCTAGCAATGACAAAAGTGGCAACAACCAGCAGCATAGGTGCAACATTCACAAGGTGTCAATGTGCGCGACACAAAGAGTGAAACAACGGGAAATCAATAACAACACATTCGTATCATCATCATCATAGGCTGGGAAGCAGCGCAGCGGAAGATCTAGTATCAAAGGACACGTGGACAACAACATGAAAGGGAGAAACTTCGGAAGGGCAAGACAACAGAAAGATTGCCCTTCCGCTCACACACATGGGGAGAGATCCATAGACATGCGAGAGAGAAGGGGGAGGGACATAGAGGTAGCCAAGTCCAACCCAAGTCTGATCTCCGAATGTCGCACACARTTCAATCCCAATGTAGAGTGTAAGTCCGATCTGAATGTCGTGTCCAATAAGGCAGAAGGCCGTGTCCAAACAATGTCTGCAGTTACCTCTATCTCTACTCTGATAAAGAAGAAGAAGAAGAAGAAGAAGAAGATGAAGAAGAAGAAGAAGAACTTCGGAGGAGTAGGAGGAGAAGAGGAGAGGAGAAGAAGAAGAGGAAGAAGAAGAAGAAGAAGAAGAAGAAGAA